ATTTCAGCAGGATATAAAAACCAAGGAATTAGTGAAAACTAAAGAAAAGGTATCAGAGGACTTTGTTTTATGAAAAAAATCTTAGTGCTTTGTTCTGTCATTCATTACGAAAATAGTAAATTAGAAGCAGTAATGAAAATTCTAGTAGCAATATGTCTTTTGAATTCCTTTGAATTATTATTATTTTTTTTATTTTTTTTTAAGGAAGCTGTGCAAGCCTTAATTTATGTGAGATGGCAGGATCAAGTCTAGGACGCATCCAAGAAAAAAATCAGTGAGTATCTGGAGAGAGTTCAAGCTGTGCGTTCTGCAGGTTAGTAAGAGACTTTGTTCTCTCGCAGCATGCCTTTACACCTGTGTTTCTCTTTCCTGTTCATCTGTGGATTGTGATCTTGTACTCTTTCTGCTCATCCCTCCTTAAAAATCATGATATGAAAATAAATAATAGCTGTATAAGAAAAACATTAGGGGCCTGGAGTGATGGCTCAGCGGTTAAGAGCAGAGGACCCAGATTGGATTGCCAGCACCCACATGGCTACGAACCATCCTTAACTCCAGTTCCAGGCAGTCCTGAAGCTCTCTTCTGACCTCTACAGCATTTCATGACATGGGTGTACTCACATACATGTAGGGGTACACTCATACACATAAAATAAAAATAATAAAAAATTTAAAAAAAGAAAAGAAAACCATTAGCAACAGTAAAGTACAATTTCCAGTTTTCTGTAGGTGCAGAGATATTGGAAAATCTTATTAACTTTATCAGTGGCAAAGTTGAGAATCTTGTCAGCCTGCTCTTTTAAAAAAATTTTTAAATTTTATGTTTATGAGTGTCCTGTCTGCATGTGTGTAAGGGCAACCATGTCATGCGGTGCCCTTGGAGGTCAGAAGAGAGCATTGGATCCCCTGGACGTGGACTTAGGGACAGTTGTTAACCACCATGTGGGTGCTGGGAATCAAACCTGGGTCCTCTGTAAGAGCAGCCAGTGCTCTTAACTGCTAAGCCATCTCTCCAGCCCCACAGCCTGCTTCTTTTTAAAGATGAGATACATGCCCTCTTTTGATATTAAAATTGACTCATTGTCTTCAGTGTTTAAAGACTTTGGCAGTAGGTTCATAGTTTCTCTTGTGTTTTCTACTTCTAGACCTTTGCTGTACTTTTTTTTTTTTTTAAGCTACACCTTGGAACAACATATAAGCAGAGTCCTGAACAGCTTGTATTTATTGTTGTAAACAGTCTGACAAGTGCCATGAGAGAAGTGTATGTAAACTTAGTGGTCACAGTTCAGTTAGAGGAAAGGGCTCTGTGTCCAAATCTGCTGTTCATGTGGATGGAAAAGAAAAACATTGCCGACATTTTGTTTTAGAAATATATCATCTCTCTAGGGGTGGGTTCTTAAACCTAATTTTTCTTTTTTTGTTGCTGGATAATTCACAGAGGAATGTCAAGAATCTTTACCGTGAATGGACTCTGTTCCTTTTACCACTTTCTGAGTGGAATGAGCAGTTACAAGCATGTAGTTAGGATAATGTCTATTTCACCTACTTTTATTCTTTACAGTTTTCTTAAAAATAAGTAGGTTGCTTTGAGACATTGTCCAGAAATTGCATGTACTGTAGGAATCTTTTATCAGACTTCAGTTGATAGAAAGTTTGGACTGATTGATGCGTTCAGAATATCTTCTTGGGAGTCATTGTGTAGCTCAGTGGTGGAGCACTTTATTCAGTAGGGCTCTGAGTCACATTCCTAACACTGGCGGGGCAAGGGGGGATGGCACACAACTGCGTGATTCAAATGAAATTCATTTTCCCAACCAAGTAAATGAAGTTGTTAAATTTGTATTATAAATAATGCACCTTATTTCAAGTACTGTTTTTAGATAAAATCTTTTTGACGTTTAGAAAGTAACCCTTCATATCTATTTCCGTGATTTCCCTGTGCCTTCCATAGATACTTACCTTTATTTCAGCAGGTGTTTACTGAGTGAATTTTTAGGCTGTGTGATAAGTTCAGGTGGTAGAGGAACCCCCAGGAAGCCCACATCAGATGTGGGAACATAAAAGTATAAACATTGCATTACTGTGGCAACCCCAGTACAGACTTCTGTAAAAGGAAAAGACTGTATGATAACACCTTAGGAGTAGGAACTGGTAACCAAAGACAAACTTCCCTCTTTCCCTGCTGTTTGTATACATAGTCATACTTATGTCATGAGCTGCTATATTAATTCCAATCAGAGTTCTCTAAATCCTTCAAATTCTTCCAACAAGTGTGAAAAAAATACAATTTATTTTTCTTAGAGAGTTAGGAAGTATATTCCCTCTTTGTATTAAATACAGAAAAACTTTAAAAATTACCTTTGAGGGACTGGAGAGATGGCTCAGCAGTTGGAGCACTGGCTGCTCTTGCGGAGAACCCAGGCTCGGTTCCCAGCACCCACATGGTAGCTAACAACCACCCTAACTCCAGTTCCAGGAGATCCAACACCCTCTTCTGACCTCCACAGGCATTGCACGACATGGATGCACCTGCCTGCATGCAGACAATACACTCATAAACATAAAATAAAAATAACAAAATATTTATAAAAATAAAAATTACCTTTGAATTGGTGTAGTGGTATGTGCCTATAGTCCTAGTGCTCAGTAGGCTAAGGCAGGAAGATCACTCGAGTCTATAAAGTTTGAGACCACAGTAAAAACAAAAACAAATTGCATTTTACTTAGGGAAGTAAATTCTAAAACTGACTCTAATGAATGTGATGATCAGGTACAGGAGAGCAGTAATCTCTCAGGAAGACTTGCCAGTGAGATGGCGTTAGAAAAGATTTTTAAAGCAGGTGATACCTTACTTATTTCACCAATATTTTGCCTCATTTGTTCAATAGATGTAGCATGTGTCATTTGTACAGAATTCAGGGGTTTCTGTATTATTTTAAGCAAAAAAAGCCTTTTTCACAAAAAGAAAATCTTGCTCAGAACCCCAGTTTTAGCCAGGTGTGGTGAAGTATGCCTATAATCCCAGCTATTTACAGGAGTATTATAAATTTAAGGCCAATTTAGGCTATATAATGGGACTCTATCACAAAAGTCCAATAAATAAATAATAAAAATTAGGACTGACGATGTAGCTCAATTGGTAGCGTGCCTGCCCAAGATGTGATGACCTGGGTTTGATCCCTGCATCACATTAAACTATATGTGATAGCACATACTTGTGATCCCAGCTCGGTGGAGGTGGATCAGAAGTTCAAGATCATCCTTGTCTACATAAGAGAGTTTGAGGCCAGCCTAGGCTACATGAGACCCTGTCTCAAAAAAAATAAAAGAAAATAGAACCTCAGTTTTTCCCAACAGTCTGTTTGTAAATTCTTGAGGAATGCATTGACTTCTAAGTGGGGGAAAATAACAATGTGAAATTGACCAATGTCATAAAGAGATCAAGACTTGGAATCAGGACTGGTGAGATGGCTTAATGAGGAAGGACACTAATTGTGAAGCCTGATGGCCTGAGTTTAATTTCCAAAACTTACATAGTAGAAGGAGAGAACTAGCTCCTGCAGGTTGTCCTGTGGCCTCTGTATGAGTGCCATAGCACATGAACCCCTCTTTCCAAAATCAATAGGGTGTCAAAAAAAAAAATGTTTAAGGACTTGGAATTAAAAGATCTAAGTTGATACTCTACCCTTCTACTTGTAGCCACGAAGCCTTAGATTAAATTAGTTTTCAGTAGGAAGTAGCTTTGCCCCACCCCTAGTGGACAGACAGTTGACAAATGTCTGGAAAGAGTTTGATTTTCACACTCCTGGGTAGAGGGGACTTATGTTCCTGGAATCCAACTGAGCACAGGTCTTGGGTATTGCCATAAATTCTATAAAGTACAGGACATTCCTTCACAGCAAAGGATTATCCAGTCCCAATGTCAATGCAAAGCCAAGAAACCCTTATAGTTTAATATTTTTGATCTTTGGGCCTTCGTTTTATGAATGGGATTAGTCAAAGAGGTAGTTAAAAATGGTTAAAATTTAGCATATTTCCTTAAATTAACAGAATGTCTACTCATTTAAAATAATAGGCTTTGAGATGTCATTCACATATGTGAAGTTCATCTTTCTAAAGTCTATAATCCACTTTTTTAAAAAATGCATTCTTACAATTGTGTGTCCATCACCACTGTTTGATTGTAGAACATTTTGCCACTCAAAAAAACAAAACAAAACAAAACCCAAACCCTCCTTACTTTTAGCAGTTTCTGTTCCCCATTCCTCCAAACCCTGCCCCTCAGCAGCTGCTTATCTGACTTTCTGACTCTAGGTTTCTTGTTCTGGGTATTTCGTGTGAATGAAATCATCTGATATAGAACCATCTGGTCCTGTTGTTGTTGGCTTCTTTTCACCTAGTGTAATGTTTGTAAAGTTTGTTCATATTAGGTTGTACTGGTACTCTACTCTTTTTGTGACTGACTGATAGTCCATTGCATTCATACACCACATTGGGTTTACTCATTCATGGGCTGGTAGGTATTTGGGTTTTCTCCACCTTTTGTCTATTGTGAATGATGTGGTGAACATGCAGGTTCTAGTGACCACACCATTTTATAATTCCAATTCTAGCAGCAGCGTAGCAGTTCTAGTTCTCAGTTCCTTTATGCTCTCACCCTCACCATCGCGTGTTCTCGTGCACACGCACACTGCTCACGCTTGTGTGTGTAGTACTGGGAATGGGCCCCAGAACTTTGTACGTGCTAGGCAAGTGATCTACACTGAGCTGTATCCTCATCTCTGCAACACTTACCCTTTTTTTAAAGAGTGGATCTTGCGGTCTAGGCTCCAACTGATGCTCCTGCCTCAGCCTTCCAAGTCCTGGGACTACAGGGCTGTTCCATCATGATTGACCTATTTCGATCATCCTACGGATGTAAAATAGCATCCCATTGCGGTTTTGTTGTTGCTGCTTCTCAAGACTGATGGTATTGAGCATCTTTGTTGTGCCTATTGACCATTTGGATATATTTTGGAGAAAGACTGTTGATCTGTTGCTCACTTTTTAGTTGGGCTCTCTTCTTATTTTTGAGTTGCAGGAGATCTATATGTCTGGGTGTGAGATTCTTTTGAGTATATATGTTTATATTAAAAAATTGAAATATTTATTCTAAAAAGCAGTAAAAACATATGACAGTTACTCTGGACCCAGATGAATAGGAAGAGCAAGAACTTTATCATCAGGACCTAGTAGTATTATTGTCTGTACTGGGAAAGAAATTAATTTATCTTAAAACCTGGCAATTTCTTTTTTCCTCCTCCCTCCCTCCCTCCCTCCCTCCCCCTTACTCCTTTTTTGTCTTAGGGATGGAACCCAGGGCTTGGTATATGTGAGACCAGCTCACTCTACCATGAAACTAATCCTCAGCCCTATGTGTTTGTTAATATTTAACATTTTCCAAGTTTTTACCTTGTTTTTAGGAAGGGAGTGCAATGTGAGGAAGACTCCTGGAGTGTTTTGTTTTCATTTGTTTTTAACAAAGGGAATACTATTAGGAAGAAAGGAATTCAGGGGGAAATTTAGTAAAGCAATTCTTTGTTTAATGTTATTTTTATTTGAATTTTTGTGGATTTCATACAGTACATCTTAATCATATTTAGAAGCCATCCCCTATATGCCTCCCTCCACAGCCCGGCAACTGGATTTCATGTATTCTGTCATACTATGTTAAGGCCCATTGAGTCAAGTTTGTGTGCCAAGATGTCTCTCGATGTTCATACACTGGAGCCTGTTCAGCCTACCTAATGTCACTCCCTTAAAGAAGATGAGCTCGCCCTTACCCTGCAGTGATCAGCTGCCAGTAGTTCCTCAGCTAAGGTTAGGGCCTCCTGCCCATTTCTCCAGTTCTATGCTGGTTTTTATTTATTAAAGTATTTATAATAGTCCTTGTCTCTGATGTTGAAAACAGCTGGGTTGGACCAGGGAGCTGAAGATTAGAAGGAGGTGAGAGAAATTAGTCCTTCAGAAAAAGATTTTTGTTATGTATTGTACTAAGCTTTTAAAATGAAGACTTATAGGCGTTTTGGCAAAAATGGTCTTAAGTATATTAAAGTGGTGGTGTTCCCTGACTACATTTAAGCAATGTTCTTTCTCTTCATGTTTTTGTGCCGTTCTAGTTCAATCAAAGAGTGCTGATCCTTTGAAATCAAAACATCAGTTGGACCTAGAGCATGCCCACTTCCTTGTTACACAAGCTTTTGATGAGGATGAAAAAGGGAATGTGGACAATGCTATAGAATTGTATACAGAAGTTGTGGATCTCTATCTGAAAACTGTAGGTATAGCCATGAGTTAAACTTGATAGAATTATGTGAATAAATTCCTTCCCTTACTAATGAATTTTACTTAATTTGAGAAAAAAACACTATTCTATCATTATAAATATAACTGAGTTAATCCTCACCAAAAGATAATGAGTAAGAAGTTAATAATGGATTTTTACACCTTATTAAAATTTTGTCACTACTGGCTGGGGTCACTAAACAGTTGCTTTTTAAAATTATAGATGTTAGGCTGTGGTGGTGCACACCTTTAATCCCAGCACTCGGGAGGTAGAGGCAGGAGGAGCTCTGTGAGTTCAAGGCCAGCCTGGTCTATATAGTAAGTTCCAGGTCATCTGGGGGCTACAGGGAGACCCTTCCTCAAAAAGACTAAAGTAAAATAAAACTATAGATGCTAATTTTTTAACTGTATACTTTAAATTTCTAGGTTTATTTTGTGTGTATGAGTGTTTTACCTGTATGTATGTAAGCATACCACATACGTGCATTTTCCTCCAGAGGCCAGAAGAGGCATCAGATCCCCTGGAACTGGAGTTATGGGCAATTGCCTGTTGCCAAGTGGGTGCTGGGAACTGAACCTGGGTCATCTGCTGAGATATCTCTCCAGCCCCAACTGTGTATACTTTAATAACTGAAATTACTGTTGAAAGAAATCATCGTCACAAATCTATGAATTTAGTGAAAACTTTTTTTTTTTTAATTTCATACAGTAAAAAAATAAGGTAATTGTTTGGGAGACCTTTATTAGCTTGCAGTGTAAAATCCATGTGCTGTTTGGCTTACTGCTCCCTGATGAGACCTTAGCTGACTCACTTAGCTTCACAGAGCATCTAGTACTTAGGAGCAGTGCATTTGGCAGGAAGATGAGGTACAGAGGTATCTTTCTCATGCCAGCCCTGGGCAGGGTGTTATGTTCAGAAAAGCCATCTACCCTGATTTCTCTAGATCCCTAAGAACACAGGTAAGTGCTGGTCTCCCCAGGTTCCTGCCGTTTCACCCTTCCATGCTACCATGTTTGTGCATTTATGATCTGATTAGCACTTGTCTAAAGTTCACCCCAGTGAAAAATACTGAATATGTTCTTCAAATGATAACCTTTAATGACAAAAATAAAATGTCTTTATTTACTCATAGTTTCAAGAAGTAAAATGTATATTGTAGTTTTTGTATAGAAATATAGATTAAATAATTATGCTTTAGAATGTCTGTCTCTTTCTCTTAAGTCTTATGAAACTGCTGATAAGACTGCAAAAGAAATTGAAACAGTTGGCTCGACAGTGAGTTTTGTTGCTCAAATTCTTAACAAATAGCATCAATTATGCTGTTTTTATGAAACAGATTTATCTTAATGTGTGGTAGAGGTCCAAAAGTTCCTTGTAAGCTGAGATTTAGAAGTCTACCTCTCTGCCTGAGTAAATTTACTTCCTCTCTAGTTCCTTGCTTTAAACCGAAGAAATAGCCCATCTATCATTCAAGAAGTATTTTTAGTATTTGCTATATAGAGAGGACAAAAACCCTGATACTTGATTTGTTTTATAACCCTGGTATTATTGAGATGGGGTGTGGGGAGGGGTCTTGGGGCTTGAACCCAGGGTTTTGTGTGTATTAATCAAACATTCAAGCACTAAGCTATATTTGCAGCCCCCAACTGTGGTATTTGAAATGGGCGACTTCTTTAGGCTGTGCAATATTAGACTTCCAAAGGAAATCTTTCAGAAAGACCTCCAGAGTGACTATAAAAAATAGACATTGAGAATGCACCTGCATTCCCAAATCACATCAGATGTGTAACCTTCATCTCAAGCTTGTGTCACTTTTCCAAGCCCTTCCCTAAGCATCGAGTCTCCCCTACTACCTCTTTGATTATATTTATTTAAGTTTTCTTTTTCATTGCTCTTGCTCCTTTGTAAGTAAGGGGCATGAAAAGACCAGTTTATTTGCTGTTGATGTGTACATTGCATCCAGCCTTCATCCCCTAAATGTAAGCTTATGAAGACAGAATTTTGACCATTTTATTGAGTTGTGAATTAAGTACCTAGCAGGGTGCCTAGCATATATGTGTTGAGTAGGTATTTGTTGAAAGAATGAATTTGCCTAAGAGAATTATGACTCTTGAAAGAGTGTTGTAGATAAAGGAAAGGGGTAGAAATTACATTTATTCATAGAGCTTGAAGTTTAAAAATTACCTTCTATTAAAGCTCCATCTAGATGACTCTATCCCCCCCTCAGCTGTTCTTTAATTGAGGTATGGCTCATTCTTCCTTTGCATCATCAACTAACATTTTCTGTATTCAGATTCATGAAGGTAAAAGCACTCAACACATAGTTGTTTCCTCCAGTTTCTGGGGTGCAGTGGTTACCACCTTCACCTGACATAGTTGTCTTCTCCATCCTGATTTCTTCTAGTTAGAATCCTGGCTCATTTTTATTATCTGTGCAAGTAACCTATATAGTATTCCTGAGTCCATCCTAAGCAAAGGTGGGTAGGGTTGGGGTAGCAGTTATGGGCTCCTTTTGAGGATCCGAGAAGATTAAGGATTTTCTTTCTAGGCAAATATACACAAAGCTTTTTGTGTGTGTGTGTGTGTGTGTGTATAATTTCAAAGTGTTATAAGATTCCTGGAACTTGTGTGACTTGTGTTAAGTATGTCTTTTTTTAGCTTATTAGTTCTTTAACAGCACAGTCACATTTCCCTCGAATATCTACAAGCCTTCTGTGACTGAATCCTGCCTTCCTGTCATGTCAGCTCCTGCTTCTTCACACCTGTACTTTCACATCATTTGAAGTGACCTCAGGTCCCTTCGCTGTTTGAGCCTTCTGCTCATTCTGTGTGTGCTTCCCCACGCTGCAGGTGAACCTCTGTGACTTAAGCGGTAGGTCTGACCAACTTTCCCTGGACTCATCCTCTCTTCCTTGATGACCTCTTTTTTTTTTTTTTTTTTTTTTCGCTTGAACTTTTTTTCTTGGTCTTTTTGAGACAGGAACTGGGGCTCCCTGTAGCCGCAGCTGGCCTGAAACTTGCTCTGTAGATCAGGCTGGCCTTGAACTCACAGTGCTCCATCTGCCTCTGCTTCCCAAGTGCTGGGACTAAAGGCGTGTGCCACCATGCCCAGCTGATGAACTCTTTTTTTAAACTTTTTAAAATTTATTTTTATTTTATGTGTATGCGTGTATTGCCTGCATGCATGTTAGTGTTGTACAATGTCTGGGAAGGCAGAAGAGGGCGTCAAATCCCCTGGAACTGGAGTTACAGGAGGTTGTTAGTTTCCATGTGGATGCTTGGAGTCAAAGTCCCCTGCAAGAACAGCCAGTGCTCTTAACTGCTGAGCCATCTCTCCAGCTCCTTGATTAACTCTTAAAGTAAATTTGTTTTCTATAAACTTAAATAAAACACTTGGGAGGTGGAGGCAGGAGGATGAGGAATTCAAGGCCAGACTTTGCTATATAGCAAGTTTGAGGCTAGCCTCTGTGTGAGATCCTGTCTCAAAAACAAACAAACAAAAGCCTAAATTTAAGAAGAAAAGCTAGAGTTTTTCTGTGCTTCTGTTTTAGAGCAGAAGCATTGAGTGAGCCTTTCACAAAGCCATTTTGCAAAGTCAAGTCAACAAATTTTAAAACGAAAAGTCCTCCTGTGAGAACACATTTTCCTCTAGGACCTGATCCCTTCCTTGAGAAGTCTCAGGCATTTATAAGTCCACAGTCATGTGATACACAAGGACAGAGATACACAGCAGAAGAAATAGAAGTGCTCAGGTAAATCCTTATGATTCGCTGCAATGAAAACATTTGAACATAACCAGTGCAGGTTATTTCATTCTGAATTGTGTTCGGAACTTCGTGGTAATCGTGTTGTGCTAGTATTTGACTGAATTATATAATTGCAGCTTGAATAATAAAGTTTGTTGTTTCTAATGTATTTTGATATTAACATTTTTTTCTAGGTAGGTTTTTCTGGTAATCTTGGAATTCTTCAGGTTTGAGCCCTGAAGATAAAGGAGCACAACAGAATTAAGGCAGACTGCTAGTACTCTGTGTACCTTTGAGACCATAGTCCCACTGGGGAAAAAGATTTTGAAATAGCCAGCAAACAAAAGTCTGGAGCTATGAATAGTTTTTCACTTTTTAAGAATTTTTTAAAAAAAGAAAATGAAAACAGAATGTGTGACAGAGACCTCATTGTGAAACCTAAACTGTATATCACCTGGATCCTTACAGAAAATGTTCACGGACCCCTGGTCTATATAGATATCTCATAGTATCTGAAAGCAGCCTCAGGGGATGTTAAAAATGCCAAACAAGCTGGACATGGCACATGCCTGTCATCCCACCATTCTGGAGGTAGGAGGATCACAAGTTCAGGTTCAAGACCAGTCTGGGCTATATAGTGAGACCCTGCCTCAAAAAACAACAGTAACAAACCCACAATAATGTAGAAGTCCTTGATTGTCTTTGGAATCGGTTGAGAGAGGATAAATAGTTGACTAGGAGGCGACTGTTTTTGAATTTGACAAGTCATGTAGGTGTTTGTTTTTAATTTTCCTGTAATTGGGCTGAAAGGACTTCCTCCTAGTTCAGAGCCCCTATGTGCACCTTTCTTTCCTGCTGAAGATTTTAGTTCTATTAGCTTGGTTCCCTTTGCCTAGGAAAAACTGCATGTGAACAAACACAGTACAAAGCAGAAGAAGAAAAGGGTCCTTTTAAAGCTGAGGCACACTAAATTAACAAGAATTTTTTACTGCCTGGTATTTGTATATTGCCTTCTGTATAACATTTGAAATTCTGTGCTCTTAACAAAGCATCTCTTTATTTCTACCCTCATAATGCATCTGTCCTTCAAGTGAAAATGAGGGTACACATCCCAACAGTCACTGTGTCCATTAATCTTCAGTACTGAAAGACTACATTATGAAGTTGCCCTGCAACTACTCTCAATTAAAAAAAAAAAAATGTGATGAGAACAAAATAGCTATAAAGCACGGCGGAGTACGGCCACAATTCCAACACTCAGGAAGCTGATAAGAGATTTTGAGTTTGTCACCAACCGGATACTCTGTGCTACATAGTGAAGCTCTGTCTCAATAAAAGAAAAAAATTGAAATTGTTAATGTATGTAAAACAGGCAAAGCCACTACAAACCTCACTTCTTGAATTTGTCAACAAGTCATAGCAGATACCTGTGGTACTTCCTCCTCCACTACCCATTCTGCACTTTCCTATCCAGAAAAGAACATGTTTTTCAGAATTGTATGTCATGTTTTGAAATCCCCCAGATAACAAAGTAATTGTTTGCTCCTTTGAACTTAGGATAGAATTGGCTTTGTATCCTTATATTGGACACAAAGCCCTATCTTAAGACCACAGTTTTGTTGTAAAAGATGTCAGGTGAGTTTGTTGTTGCTGCTGCTATTTTACTTATTTATTTATTTATTTAATTTTTGTGCTGAGGGTCGAACCTAGGGCTTTGCACATGCCAGGCAAACGCTCTGCCACTGAGCTACATCCTAAGCCCAGGATGTTAATTGTAAAAGAATGTCATATTAAATTGGATTGAATTACAGCAGTTATTTTCTGATATTTGTTTTATCAGAAATGTCTAAAGAGCCGAGCAACCTGATGTTGTCCACTTAACACAGCACCACACTTTGTGATTTGAATTTTACCTTTGATACCAACCAAATGATGGAGAAGTTACTGTCATTTACATTTTAGAGTTGAAGATCAGTGGTTAAGATAAACTTGAAAACTTGGATTCTTTTTCTTGTTTTATAGGACAAGGTTAAACAATCAATGGTATAGAATATGTTCCTTTCATGAGTGTTGATCTGAGGGAACGTTTTGCTTATCCAGTGCCTTTTTGGTAAGTAAGCACTGTAGTAATTTTACTTTCAAGATCATTTAAAATTTTTCCCAAACTCTGAGATTCAATTGAATTCATAGCTTGAAATTAATTTTTTAAAGTTTATTATTTTTATGTGTATTCGTGTATTGCCTGCATATAGGTAAGTGCACCCATGTTATAGAATGCCCGCAGAGGTCAGAAGAGGCTGTTGGATCCCCTGGGACTGGAGTTACAGTTAGCTGCCATGTGGGTGCTGGGATTCAAACCTGGGTCTGTGAAAACAACCAGTGTTCTTAACTGTTGAGCCATCTCTCCAGCCCCAAAGTTAAATTTTATATACAAAACTGGTTGAAGAAAGGAGTATCTATGGGACAGAAGAGGAAAAATTGTCCTGATAGAGATGTGAACAATACAAAGTTGTCTGGATAGTATAGCACCAGAACGTAGCATTAGCACATTTGTTTTAATTTGCCTGGTTTTGGGCTCCTGTGGAGCTTTTGGCCCAGCCATAGTGCTTAGTATAACACCTGGCACAGAGTAAGTACTGTGCAAACATTTGTTCAATTCATGACTGGATCACAGTAGAAATACAAGCTGGAAAGTCATATAAAAGTGGAATAAAATATCAGCATCATTCCTTACTAAGGTCCAGTTAAAGAAAGTGTTACTGGCTGGCATGGCATGGTGGTGCACACCTTTAATCCCAGCACTCCGGAGGCAGAGGCAGGGGGATCTCTGAGTTTGAGGCCACCCTGGTCTGCAGAGCGAGTTCTAGGCCAGCTGGGGCTACAGGGAGACCCTGTCTCAAAAAGACCACACACACAAAAAAAGTGCTGTTTGTAAAAGTATTATCATAGCCTTCCAGGACAGTGGCAGAGGCTTAAAAATATTGTTTGATTTAGGACTCATAGTTTCTAGTTATCCTAAGGAAATCAGTATTCAAATTTGTATATAGTGTCAGGCTCTTGGGAGGCTGAGGCAGTCAGATCTCTTGTGAGTTCAAGGCCAGCCTGGTCTACATAGCTAGTTGCAGAATAGCTGGGGATACAGGGAGGACCTTTCTCACCCCCCCCCCTAAAAAAAAAAACCCCAAAAATGTATGTAGTAAGAGCATTTATCCAAGTGTCTGTTATGGTAAAGGTTTCAGAACTAAATATCCAGGGGTTTGAGAATGATTTAGTCATGGGACATCCATACAATCAAATGCTGTTTCCCAAATAAAGTAAGTCTTTTAAAAAGTAAGAAAGATACTCACAACATAGAAATTTAAAGCAATATAAGATAATGCATGTAACATTCAAATTAATTTTTATTTATAAATGCGTAGGAAAAGAAATACGGTAAAATGCCCACAGTGTTTACCTTTAGATAGCAAAACTATATGGTTTAAGTTTCTTTTTTCAAAATATCTGCAGTGAGCATGTGATATTTATTATCAGAAAAAGTTTGAATGTTTATTATCTATAGAATGAAAAGCTCCATAAAGAATAAGAAAGTTGCTTTTCATTTTCCAATGTTCTGCTTTTCTTAAATGGCCCAAGAATTAAGTGTCAGAAAGCCACTAAATTATCAACCTCATTTTTTCACTTAGGCAGTCATATCAGTGATTCTAGTAATGGATTGGGTTCTAAGGAATTTAACACTTTTATGACTTTGGTGTTAGGTGCATAGATTTAATAGGCAAACTTTTAAGATTATATTTTTATGTTTAATTATGTGTGTGTGTGTGTGTGTGTGTGTGTGTGTGTATGTGTGTGTGAATCGCTACATGTTGAGTGTAGTGCCTGCCAAGGCCAGAATAGGGAGTCAGCTTCCCTGGAGCTGGAGTTACAGGTAGTTATAAGCCACCCAATGTGGGTGCTGGGAACTGAACTCCTATCTTCTATGAGAGCTATGTGTGCTTTCCACTGCTGAGCCATCTCTCCAGACCCTAATAGGCAGACTTCAGTTTGAGATCCTGTGTGCTGCTGGATGAGTTACGTCTTTCTCTGTTTCATCAACTATATAAAATGAGGCAAATAATAGAGCATGTCTACTCCATGGTGTAACTGTGGTGCTTCAATGAGTTAGTGAACTAAGATGCTCTTAGAATGGAGCTTGTTATTTAGCAGCCCTGTTTAACAAGGGAAAAGCACCAGAGTAGTACTCATTAAATAGTAAAATTATAGATCACAATTTGGTTGTGTATGTCAAAAGAATTATACTTCTGATGATTTCACTTCAGGAAACTAATTCTAAAGAAGTGTTTAGAGATTTACTCAAATATTTATGCAAAAGATACCAATATTATAGTTGTTAAAATGAATCCCTGCTTTATAAATGCTAAAGTTGAACTTTTAAACTATACTTTTAAAGTAAATAAAAATGAATTTATGCTCACTTCTGCCTTTAACTGGAGGGGACACTGGGGTTGATTGGATTCAAGGTCAAATGTGAACAGCCTGATTTTACCAGAGTTACATTGGAAAGACAAAAGTCTATTATCTCTGTGTCAAAAGAAAGTTTCATTCTGACTTCAAATTATCTTCTAAAACTGATCTATTTTTGTAATTTGTATTGTTTCCTCAGCGATAGATGGGGCAAGCTGCCATTATCACCCAAACAAAAAAATACATTTTCCAAATGGGTATGGCCAGAAGACCTCACCAACAATCCTACAATGATATACACTATATCCAGTTTTAGTATAAAGCAGGTAAATATTTATATATGGATTTGATTTTTTTTCTTAGATTGTATATATTCAGATGCATGAGTATAATTACAAAAATTATTCGTTGTAGACATTTAAAAAAAATTGTTTTCAGCTCGATCTGGTAGCACATAACTTGGAATCTCAGCACTCCAGGTGGAAGGCCACTGTGGACTACATAGAGTTTGAGGCCAGCCTGGACTATAAAGCAAGATTCTTTCTCCAGAAAAAGAAAAATCTTTTTTTCCTTCTGAGATGACATCTTGCTATGTTGCCCAAGCTGGCCTTGAGCTCAAGATCTTCCTGTATCAGCCTCCTAAGTAACTGGGATTTCTAGTGTGGGGCACCATGCCCAGTTCACTCTATACATTTTTGTTTTAACATAGAGAAAATTGTATAATATGAGACGCTTTTGAGCAATCATAGATTTTTTTTTTTAAATACTACGTAGGACTGGAACATAGGGCCTCATGCATGCAAGGCAGTCACTTCCGCTAAGTTACAGCCCTAGTCCCAATTTCAGATTTCTGTTTTTGTAGATAAGAAACGAGAACTGAATTTCACTTTTGACAAGAAAATAAATATAAAAGATAATTATTGAAATGTCTAATTATGTGGCTGGAGAGATGGGTCAGTGGTTAAGAACACTGGTTGTTCTTGCAGAAGACCCGGGTTTGAATCCCAGCACCCACATGGCAGCCAACAACTGCCCGTAACTCCAGTCCCAGGGCACCTGACAGCCTCCTCTGATCAGTGCGGGCATTGCACAACATGGGTGCACTTACCCACATGCAGGCAATACACACATACACATAAAACAATAATATAAATAAATAAATATATAAATATCCAATTATTGGGGATGGAGAGTTGGCTTAGTAAAGTGCTATCTTGTAAGCATGGGAACCCGAGTTGGCATCCCCAGAATCCCCATAAGAAAAAAAAAAACATAGTGTGACAACAGCACACTCCTGTGACCTCAGAAATGGAAGGGCAGAGACAGGTCGATCTCTGAAGCTCACTACCCAAATCGGTGAGCTTTAGGTTCAGTGAGAGACCATGTCTCAAAAAGTCAAAGCTTGAGAGTGATTGAAGAAAGATATCCAATGTTGACCTCGAGCCTCTACATGCATGTACACCTACATCATGGGCTGCACATACCCTAGTAAGTATACACCATACACACATACAAATCCATTTACAAGAAAACACAAAAGATTCTAAACTAACTTCATTGAAATATGTGAGTTAACAGTGTAATATTTCTATTTTCCTATTTGAACAATAATTGAGAAACTATTTAACATAAAAGCTCAAGTAGTCAGTGCAATGCATAAATGTTGTGCAAATGCTGAAATTATATGGGGGCTGGAGAGGTTGCTCGGTGCTTAAGAACACTTGTTCTTTCAGAGGACCTAGGTTCAGTTCCCAGCACTGACATGGCAGCTAACAACTGTCCATAACCCAGTTCCAGGAGATCTAACACTTTCTTCTCATCTTTGTGGGCATTGTATACACATGGTGTATAGTGTACATGGTGTACATGGAGGTAAAACATACACATAAAAGTAATAAATTTTTTGTATGTTGAAATTATATGAATTAAAGAATATATTAGTGTATTATTCTTATTAACAGACAATAGTATCAGATTTTTCCTTTGTGGCATCACTGGCTATCAGTGCAGCTTATGAAAGATGATTCAATAAGAAGTTGATTACCAGATAAAATTTTGTGTTTTCCCTTCATAAAATTGTTGCTTAGTTGGAAATTAAAAACTTGGACCTTACTGACACAGCAAGAGGAGAGGGCCCATCACTGGATTATTACTGTCCTTCTGTAAAAGTTAAACAGATGGTTCCTGAATGTAGGGAGTTATTCTAAAGCAGTAAGACTATATGCATATGTAGCTAACTAAGGTATGTGGCATAAATGTTTTTGAAATTGATGAAATCAAAGTAAACACAATTTGTAATTTTTAAATTTTGATTTATTTTTTGTTTTATGTGTATGAGTGTTTTACCTGCATGTATGTTAGTGCATCCATGTTGTGTAATGCCCACAGAGGTCAGAAGAGGGTGCTGGATCCCCTGGAACTGGAGTTGGGGATGGTTTTTAGTTGCCATGTATATGCTGGGACCCAAACTCAGGCAAAGTGCTTTTAACTGCCGAACCATCTCTCCAGCCTCATACTTCGTAGTTTTAACTGAATAAGGTAGCCAGCCACCTTGGCTATTGAGCAATTAAAACAGGTTATTTTGCATCCAGATGAGCTACATGTATAAGATGTGAAATTTTGAAAACAGCATACAAAATGTTAAATTGGAAAATATCTCACATTTTGTATTGAGTACGTAGTGAAATCATAACTGGAGTCAGCAAAATGTTAGAGTTAGTTTTATCGTTTTCTTTAGCTTTTAATATGGCTATTAGAAAATAGAAAGTATTCCTGTTGCCTATAGCTGCTTTAAAATTCATTGAAATGTTTCTGAAAAATTTTTTCAGTTTTTGAAAGTTATTAACTCAGAATCATTCAGTGAAAAAGTTTCTAATCATAATTTTTCATTGCACTTTTCTTGAGTAGTTTTTGTGTGTTAAGGCCTAAGGGTAAAAGATGAATCAGAGAGTTTTTAACTTCAGCTTCTTGCCTTATAAATAACCAATATGCAGCATATTTGGTTTGGTCCAAATATATTTTAAAAGAAAACTGATACTGAAAGTTCTTACAAGAATCTCATCAATAACTTTAATTTTATGTACTTCAGAGTTGTACTTAGTGTCTTTGTTGTGATTTATTGAAATGGTCTGTACTTGATAAAGGTCGTTTATCCATTTAGTACATGGTTTTTTAAAAACATACAGTTAGAAATTGAGCTAGACATGGTGGCACTCGCCTTTAATCCCAACACTTGGAAGGCAGAGGCAAGTGGATCTCTCTGAGTTCAAGACCAGCCTGGTCTACATTGTGAGTTCTAGGCCAGCTGGGGCTACAGGGAGACCCTGTCTCAAAAAGACCACACACACAAAAAGTGCTATTTGTAAAAGTATTATCATAGTCTCCAGGACAGTGGCAGAGGCTTGAAAATATTGTTTGATTTAGGACTCATAGTTTCTAGTTATCCTAAGGAAATCAGTATGCAAATTTGTATATAGTGCCAGGCACTTGGGAGGCTGAGGCAGTCAGATCTCTGTGAGTAAAAAAAAAAACCCCAAAAATGTATGTAGTAAGAGCATTTATCCAAGTGTCTGTTATGGTAAAGGTTTCAGAACTAAATATCCAGGGGTTTGAGAATGATTTAGTCATGGGACATCCATACAATCAAATGCTGTTTCCCAAATAAAGTAGGAAAGATACCCGTAATATAAAAACTTAAAGCAATATAAGATAATGCATGTAACATTCAAATTAATTTTTATTTATAAATGCGTAGGAAAAGAAATACGGTAAAATGCCCCCAGTGGTTAGATAGCAGAACTATGTGATTTAAGTTTCTTTTTTCAAAATATCTGCAGTGGGCATGTGATATTATCAGAAAAAGTTTGAATGTTTATTATCTATAGAATGAAAAACTCCATGAAGAATAAGAAAAGTACGTGTGGGGTACAATGTACATGGAAAATTCAACCAGATAGAAAACAAAGGGTGTTCATGTAGTGTGTCTCATGCTGGGTCCTTTGTTCAAGACAAGGGAATGTGTTGGGGCTGTTAACCAAGATGTCTTAATTTCAGTTACACACAGCTGGTGTTATTCCTAGATCAAGGAAGTGAAAATGTTTTTTCCTAGAACACAGGGAACTGCAGACTTTTAGCCTGGCCAGCTTCCTTCTGCATTGCGGTGTTCCATGTGACAGGGTCATGAGGCACTCTTTTTAATGCCTTGCCCTTGGCAGAGGTTGCAGCCTGACCTTAAAAGTTCAGGCCCATCTTGTTCTAAGTCTGGCCATCTTGGTCTCCTATAGAAGTTTATAGCTCTTAAGTGCCTACGTTAAAAAACAAGAAAGGAAAGGGCACATATAAATGACTTAGTAGTACAATTCAGCCTTTGGAAAGGCAAGAACTAACCAACTCCCAGCCTAGTAGACAAGAAGAAATAGAAATCAGCAGAAATTAATGAAATAGAAACAAATAAAAAAAATACAAAAAGAATTAATGAATCTAAGAGCTGGTTCTTTGAAAAGTTGAACACCTTTAGTCCAGGTAACCAAAAAATAAAAAAGTAGTGCAAATCCAAATTAATGAAATCAGAGATGAAAGGGGAAACATCATAATCCCCCCCACCCCAAATTATAAGGGAATACTTCGAAAACCTATGCTCTACTAAATTTGAAAATCTGAAAGGGACGAATTTCCAAATTCATCGAAACCAGTAAAGTTAAACCAAGAAGAGATCAACATCTGAAACAGACCTATAACAAATAAGGAAATTGAAACAGTAATACAACCCCTCCCCACTAAAAACCCCAGGTCCAGATGGATTCACAGCAGACTTCTACAAGACATTCAAAGAAGATGTATAACCAGTACTTCTTAAATTATTCAAAAATGTAGAAATGGAGAGAACACCCAAACTCCTTCTATGATGCCAGTCTCACTCTAATACCAAAACCAGGTAAAGATGTGACAAAAAAGAAAACTATAGACCCATATACTTAATGAACATAGATGCAAACCTATTCAAGAAAATACTTGGAAATCACATACAGACACACATCCAAAAGATCATGCACCATGATCAAGTCGGCTTTATTCTAGAGATGCAGGAGTAGTTCACCGTACGTAAGTCAATAGATGTAATAAAACATACAAATGGACTTAAAGACGAAAACCACATGGTCATCTCAGTAGATGCAGAAAAGCTTTTGACAGAATCCAAAATGCATTCATGTTAAAAGTGCTAGAAGGAATTGGTCTGGAGGGAGCATACCTCAATGTAATTAAAGCCATATACGATAAACCTATAGCCAACATCATCCTAAATGGAGAAAAACAAAGCATTCCCATTAAAATTAGGAACCAGACAGGGCTGTCCACTATTTTCAATGTAGTGTTTGAAACTCTTGCAAGAGCAATAAGACAAGAGATGGAAAATTAAAGGAGTACTAATTGGAAAAGAAGATGTCAAATTATCACTATTTGCAGATGATATGATACATAATAGATCCCACAAATTCTACCAGAAAACTATTAGAAATGATTAATACTAATACTGTCAGTCAAGTGGCAGGCTACAAAATCAACTTACAAAAATCAGCAGCCTTTCTATATACCAAAAAAAAGTAATCAGAAAAAGCATTCAAAGACACCCTACCATTCACAATGACCTCAAGAAAAATTTAAGGATAAACCTAACCAAAGACATTAAAGATCCCTACAATGAAACTCTGAAATCTTTAAAGAAACAAATGGAGGAAGACACTAGGAGGTGAAAGGTTACCTACCACGCTCATGAATTCAAAGAATCAGAATTGAGAAAATGACCATCTCCCCAAAAGTCTTCAATGTAATGCCATTTAAAATACCCACGACATTCACACAGGTAGAAAAAAAAATCCTAAAATTCAGAAGACCCAGGATAGCCAAAGAAATCTTGGGCAAATAAAACAATGCTTGAGTGATCACCATACCACATCTCAAATTATATTACAGAGCTTTAGTCATAAAAGCAGCATGGTACTATGGTACTGGCACAAAAATAGACACGTAGATAAATGGAACAAAGTAGAAGACCCAAACACGAATACATGCAATTTCAGCCACCTGATATTTGTCAAAGGTGCAAAGAACACACACAATGGAGGAAAGACAGCATCTTCAATAAATGGTGCTGCCACAATTGGATATCCACTTGTAGAAGAATGAAATTGGGCCCTAATCATTTACTGCTCCCAAAAGTAAACTCCAAGTGGATCAAAGACCTGAATGCAAAACCTAAAACTCTGAAACTGCGAGAGGAAAGCAGAGGCACTATCCTACAAGATACAGGTGTAGGAAAGGACTTTCTAAATCGAACATCAGCCACTCAGGCATCATGGTCAATAATCAACAAGCGAGACCTCATTAAGCTACAAAGTTTCCGTACAGCAAAAGAAACAACCAGCATAGTGAAGAGGAAACCCACAGAGTGGGAGAAAAAATTATAGGATTTGGGACTGTTTGCTTTGCTTGGTTTTTAATGTATGTTTCAAGGTGTCAAGTATTAATCTTTTCATCCAATGTCCACCCCTCCGAGGTGTTTAAAGACTTGAAATGAGAGAAAAGTATTTTAAGAATGTAATAGGATCTAACCTCTGCTCAGGCCGCAATACCTGCAGCAGCCATCTCCTCTCCCACTTTCACCGATATTGACAAGCATCCTTGTGAGACATTGCATCTGAGTCCCTAGCTAACATAGTATCTCATCTGGGAAGTGAGCTCATGTCAAAGGGGGTATTGGTGCAAGTAGGTCTAAACACATCATTCTCCCACCTCTTCCCAGCCTCCTGGCTGGGAATCTGAGAGCTTGGCTGTGAGAACTGGTAGTGAAACCTCACCCATCAGAGGACAACTTTCAAGAGTTGGTTCTCTTCTCCTTCTACCATATGGATCCAGGGACTCAAACTCAGAATGTCAGGCTTCCCAGCAAGTAAGTACCTTAGAGCTGGGCCATCTTGCTGACCCACATTCTGTGCATTTTAAACCAGTCCCCTCTGGCTATACCCCCACACGGTCCTCTGCCTGGCACAGCACCTACTTGTCCTAATGAACTCTGCTCCCACCCTCTGTTCACCCTGCCATGCTCCTCAGCATGTTAACCCCCCCCCGCCCCCCAAGTATTCTCTGCTGGTCCTTCACTGCCTTCCAACAATAGCAGATGAAGATTCATTCCAGGCCACTCTGTTAACCTCCTTTCCCAGCTGCTCTGCTGTAGTGTCGTCTACAGTGCTTTCTTCCTCTAATAAACCTGTTTCATGTTGTTTGGAAAAGGGAAAGAAATTCTACCCAGTATTCATTGCCTGCCAGCTAGCCCCACCCACAGTCCCCCGTATGCAGGTCAGCACAGTCCTGGTGCTGACAGCAGATACATTTAGCCATTGGCCACAGCTGTCTAGTGCCTACTCAGCACTTATGACAAGTTCCAGCAAGTAGCTTCAATTGGTGAGTGTCCCCGACCAGGACTAGGATATAATTTATGCCATCTAGTAACAGCGTGGCACATAGACGTACAGAAAGCCCTAGGGCTTGGCGAGAGAAACATCTGCAGACACCTCTATGTGATCCTGCTGGTGGGGCTCTGCTCCTGGAAGATGGTTTACCTTGTTAGATGGAGGGTGCATATTGAGGTCTTGCATGCCTCTACTCTGAAATCCTTCAGGAGAAAGACTGTTGTTAAGTATTGGCAAGTGATGAACCTAACTATAACACACCTTAACTTTGCTTTTCTGCAAGTGGGAGCTCAGCTTCTCCAGGGACATAAATTTCATCTGTACTTTTCCTTAACCCCAGTCCCAGTTTAGTCAAACACATTGCCCTGCTCTCCCTGGGAAGCAGTTAATGTGTTCTCTCAAACAATGGAAGGCCCAGGTCAATAGGGTCCCCTGGCGGGATGCATGCCTCTTGTACATAGCCTGAGTTTGTGGCTACTGAGCAGGGTGGATGTCACTTGTGTCTGTAGGGCATTTAAGAGACCACCAGTGGTGTTGGAGAGATGACTTAGGGGGTCAAGGGCACTGGCTGTTTTTGCAGAGGACATGGGTTTGGTTCCTAACACCCACCCGGCGGCTATCAGCCATTCCTAACTCCAGTTCCAGGGGATCCAACACCCTACCCTCTTCTGGCCTCCATGGGCACCAGGCACATATGTGGTACACATACATGCAGGCAAGCACACATTAGAAAAAAACTCTTAAGAACAAAGGACCCCCCCAATCTCCGCCCCCCCCACCTGAGGAATAGTGTCTGGGTCACCTTTAAAACTTAGGGCCACTGAATCTTAAACTGATCCTCAACCTTCAAAGCTGTTGAAACTTTGTCCATTCTGGCCAATTAGGCTTTTTTTCAGCTTCTGCTCTTGTATGACCACAACCTCCACATCTCCAATGAGAAATGGAGGTTGGGAGAGGGGGAGGTGAAGGTGGTGGCCACCAGGTTTTTTTTTTGCTCCAGGACGGGAGCTTCAAGGAAAGTAGTCTGAGAGGAGTACCACTGTGAGTCAGCTCCAGATGCAGGGCGAGCAGGTTAGGAACAATATGGATTCATTGAGGTCTCTCCTTGTGGCCTGACCTACGCCCACAGGCCTGGGAGGTATAGTTAGAAAGGGTGGTGGTGGTGAGGAGCGGGGGGCAGCCTGGGCTGGTGGGGGATTTTCTTGCTGGGATCTCCTTCCCATCCTGAAGGAGAGGAGTACACACACCTCTCAGCCGTTCTGGAGGTTCACTGGGGAATCGGGAGGGAGTAGGTTATACCTCCATGCTTGTGTCCCCTTCATCCCCAAGTTGATCTCCTGACCCCCAAGGTGTTCTCCTTGTCACCCAGGGGCCCTTGTCCTAATATCTCCTTGCTCTTTGCCTCTCTGATTCCTTTCTCACTGCCCTCCTTTCATGTGTGAGGCAACTGTCTACCTTGGCTCTGCAGTCTCCTTCTGGGCTTGGGGAGGTGGGCAGCCCAGGCGGGAGCTCTGCCCCCAGGGAGTTAGCAGCAGGCTCCTTGCATAGGACAGCTCAATTCAACCTTCCAGAGCTTCTTTCCTTTGCCATGTATATCACCTTCCCATGGAGTGAAAGGCATTCACTCTGCATTGGGAGCCTCGTTTACTTGTGGGTGTCCTTGATCTTTGACCTCTCCAGTCTAGGCTGTACAGGAGATGGAGTGGCTGAACTGTGGTGTCTGCTGCCATTTTCCAGGGCTTCTAAGCTAGCATGAGTGCAAGCTCCTTTTCTGGTCCCCAGGGGCCTCTTCATCTGCACCAGGGCTGGGTCAGGGCCAGATTCCACTGATTTCCAAGAGGAAGGGCTGTGAGTCTCACTGCTCTGGTCAGCTGGGGTCCATGTCATAGCAGCTGTGGCATAGGAAGTGCAGGCCCCCATGCTAGAGGGCAGGGTGCTGCGATAACTTGAGCAGCAGGAGGCCATGCACTGATGGATGTCCACCCTCCATGTACCCCTTACCTGTGCATGGGAGCCAGGCCCCTAACTGTCCCATTTCTCTCACCTTCAGGTTACGTGGTCTGTATGTTACACTGTCTCCCCAGCTGCATAAATGTACATTCAGCATGGGCCACAGCCGTGACGAAGCCATCATGAAAATGGTGAAACTGGACCTGAAAGTGGGGCGCTTTTGAAGAACAGACACAGCCACCACACGACACCGTTCTTAGTTCACTAATGTTAGCCTTAGGACAAAGCCAGACACCTTGTACTGGGCAGGCATTAGACTACAACCAGCCTTTTCCTGCCTTTAGCCAGCCATCCTGGTACTGTAATTTAGGGGTTGATGGTGGTTGAAATTGATTTCTGGTTGGTTACTAAGGTGCCTGATAGGCACTGTATAAAATCAAAACATGAAGAATGTTTTTCTCCTTGAGCATGGCTAGTGGATTTAAAACAACACACTGCTGGAGTCAGACTTAGAAAAGCCTTAAGTGGGAAGTGTTGCTGAGGAGCAGGCACCGGCCTCACAGCCCTCACAGGCGGGCTTTGCCTCAGCTCCTCTGTGTTGGCCTTTCACCTCTTCACTTAGGTTTGGTTCCAGCAGGACCTGATGGCCACGCATCCCTTGGCCATGGGAGGTTGCTGAGACTGACGATGAGGCTGGGCCGGGTCAGGCCTTGTCTCAGTCTCCCACGGAGCTGGAAATGGGGTTGGGGGTCAGATTCTTAGGGAAGATTTTACCTGACTTGTTATGGGAAAAATCACACAGGAAGAGAAACCACCTCACTTTGAAAAATTAGCTCCGCTGAAGACTACCTTTTCTACCCAGGATCGGAGGCGGTGAACTACTGGCTCTGCATTGCACCAGGGGCCAGGGTCTGACTGGGCTGGAGCCTGCCTGTTGACCTCTGCAGCCAGATTTCTATATCGAGAGAGTTTTTGGTTCTTTCTTTTTTTTTTTTAAAGACACCTTGTGGCTACCAGTCATCAGTAGATATGTTGGGGAACACCTGGGGAACTGTTTGTTTCCTTGGAGACCAGGAGGATGATATGTGGCTTCTACTAGTTTCTGTGTAGCGCATAGTTTGGGGACAAACGATCAGTTTCTTCCACGGGGTAGGTTTAGGAAGACAGAGGCTGCACAGGATTCTGTTGTGGCTGTCTCCAGCATGCCATGCATGGTGGTGGCGGCTGTGGGCTGGGCAGCAGCTCTCAGCCTGGGCCTCCTCTGGTGCAGATATAGCAGCTCTGGCCAGGTGGGGGCACTTGTGTGGGCTGGTTAGGAACCCATTACTGGTCAGATGGGTGGGGCTGGGTAGACATTAGGAGCCCTCGGAAGTCTTGATCTGGTGACTGGCCTCAGTTGTCTGGTTCAGGCCTGCGACCTGGTGTGGGGCTGCCCACACTTGGCTGCTGATGGATGGTTTAACCCAGCAACTTTCTTTTGTATGAGACGACAGAGTTCAACACTCTGCAGATTAACAGTTGGACAGCTGCAAATACCAATGTCTTGTGATGTAAAATAATGACTGTGAAATCATGTTCTCCCCACTCCTGCATCTGACCCTACCTCCCACCAGATGGAAGTTGCTGCAGAATCTCCAGCGTTAATCTTTGCTTCAGGACCCAGACTGGTGACTCGCTCTGGTCAGCCCAAGTCACTGGGGCCGGGCCTGGTCTGCCTGGCCTTTACCACCATTGTCAAGCCACAACCTTCTGGCCACCAGAGGCCTTCCTCAGTGAGCATCAACAGAGCTCTGATCCTAGAAGAAGCCACAGGTGCCCTTCTCAGTCCTCCTAGACCTAACCAGCATCAGCTGCCTCCCCCAGCACTGGGAAGGGGGTGCTCAGACCACACACCCAGGGATCAAGTCAAGTTCACTTCCTGCCTGGAGAGAGGTGGGGGAGGAAGGGCTTTTTCCCCCTGCAATCTGTGTTCTATGAAGTTTGCTAAATGTAAGGGAAGCTTAAATTGTTGTGTCTATAAAGAGAAAAATCTTATTTATACCTGTGTGTTCTTGACTGACTTACACACAAAGCCTAGAGGTCAGTTTTTTAACATTGTGACCATATTAAAAGAATCTCGTAACTTTCATTCCTTTTTCTCCTGCTGAAAAAAAAATTAAACCAAATATACGAACATTTGGATTTCTCTATTTTGGCATTTCCCAACACCATGGATCACCAGAAAAGTCGCCTGTTCTGCACAGCCCTTGGCCATACTTGGCTGACTCGCCCAGTGATCATCCAGGCCCAGCGGCTGCTTCTCTGGTGTCTTTTGTGCCATTCTGCTCTGGAAGGCTCAGGTGCAGATTTGGGAGTGGGGGATGCAGCCCCCAGGCGTGGGCAGGTTGGGGTCCTGGGGCCCTTGGTTCTAGAACTGGAGAGGGTGGGTAGGAAGAGTGCTGCTGACTCCTTGCAGCATCCAGGAGGCATGTGCATGTGGCCTCTGGCATGAAGGATGCGCTTACTACATTTTGAAATAGACTTTCGGCAGGGATAAAGCAGAGGAGGGGTCAAGGAACAAGGGCATGAGGAGCCAGAACTGGTCTGGTGGCTGGAGTGTGCCAGTCCATGGGCCTCAGATGCTGGAACCCAGAAAATCCAGCAAGGAGGCCTCGGGAAGGAGACACAGCTTGTGGGGCAGCGTCTTCAGGGATGAAGGTGCTTCCTTCGGGGAGCCATGAGCCTCCCCGACCCCCCCAAGAAGGCTGTGCCCAGCCAGGCAGGCACAGAAGCAGGAGAAAGATCCAACCAGTCTGCAGCTCCTCCAGTGCTCTCACGCTGCCTGAGGGAAGGCTCCAGACTAGAGTCCCTTGAGACAGAAAGAGATGGTGCTGGATTTATGCTTGTCAGAGGGCTTGGGGAAAGTCTCTGGTCTTGACATAAATGCAGAATAGAAAATAAAAATAGACAATTTTGGGACCGCAGAGAGGGCTCAACAGTTGAGAGTGTGGTCTTTTTCCAGAGAACCTGAGGTGGGTTCCCAGCATCCACATCAGGTGGCTGTAACTCCATTTCCAGGGGATCTGACACCTCTGACCTCCGGGGGCACCCACACTCATGTGCATACCCCTCCCCCCAACACATATAATTTTAAAGTTTTTAAACAGGTAGTTTGGGGCCAGAGAGATGGCTCAGTCAGCAGTTTAAGAGCACACTGCTCTTGCAGATCTGTCCTGTCACTGGCTACTCCTTGGATCCTGGAGTCACTTTACCTTTCCTCAAAGTAGGTGCAGCCCCAGTGGTGCTGACACCACAGATATCTTGCAGAGGATCAAGGTCAAAGACTGGCGCTGTGGGCCCTGGGATCAAGGGGAGACATGCTTCCAGAAGCTCCTATGGTCTTGTCTTTTCTGGAAGCCAAGGGCACTCTGGTCCCATTTGCACAGCAGCAGGCGCTGGGGTCCCTGCCCCCTATGTTCTCTTCCACCCGCCCAGTTCACCACGGGCTTTCCCAGGTCCCCCACATGCTCGTCCCCACGATCCTCCGCCTTCCAGACTACCTGAGCCTGGGGTTCCTGCACCCTGGAGAACTGGTAGTGTTCCTGGTGCCTCTTGTGGGTGGTTCCTGCAGGATCTCTTTTGAGAGTGTAGCGCTCAGTTGAGTGTCCTACCCCAGGGCTGAGCTCGAATGCCTCATCCCCATGGGGCTCCAGCTACTGCTGAAAGGTGGATCTGAGTGCAGCTCGGTGGCCCCCCCTTCCCAGGAGGAACTTCTTCACTGGCTGCTACTGCTGTTGCTGCAGTTGGATCTGGAGGTCAGAGGTCAGTTTACATTCTGCAAAGTGGGCAAAGCTGGACAGGCTCTGCAACAAAGGACGATTTCCTATTTCCTTACTTTTGGTTAACTGGGCTGAGTTTGTCTATCTTGTTTAGCTTTTCAAAGAACCAGCTCTTAGATTCATTGATTGTTTTTGTTGTTGTCTGTGTTTCTATTTCGTTGGTTTCTGCTCAGATTTTTGTTATTTCTTCTCTTACTGGGTTTGAGGTTGGTTGGTTCTTGCCTTTTCAGTCTTGAGTTGTACTGTCAGTTCATTTACATGTGCTTTCTGATTTTTTAATGTAGGCAGTTAGAGCTATAAACTTCCCTCTTAGGACTACTTTTAAAATGTCCCAGAGATTTTATTGTGTTGTATTGTCCTTTTCAGTTAACTCCAGGAATACGTTTATTTCTTTCCTAATTTCGCCTTTGATCCACTTGTCATTCAGGAGTGTGTTGCTTAATCTCTTTGTGGTGTGATAGAATGCATAAAATTATTTCATTTTTTTAGGTTTGTTTTATGACTAAGAATGTGGTCAGTTTTTAAGAAAGTTCAATGGGCTGCTGAATAGAAAGTGTATTCTTTTTTGCTTGGGTGAAATATTCAGAAGATGTCTGTTAGGTCCCTTTGATGTATGGTATCATTTAATTCAGATGTCTCTCTGTTCATTCTATGTCCAATTGACTTGTCTAATGGAGACAGTGGGGTATTGAAGTCCCCGACTATTACTGAGTTGAGCATAATCTATGTCTTACAGTGCTATAGTGTTGTTTTTATAAATTTGGGTGCACCAGAATTTGGTACATGTATGTTCATGATTGTACTATCTTCTTGGTTAATTGTTTAGAATGAAGTGACCCAATTTGTGTCTTCTGATTAGTTTTAGGTTGAAGTCTATTTTGTCAGATACTAGAATTGCAACCCCTGCTTGTTTCTAAATGCCATTTGCTTGAAATACTCTTTTCCAGCCTGTCACCTTAAGGTAGTTCCTGTCCTTGAAGGTTAGATGGGTTTCTTGCAGGCAAGCAAAAGATGGATTTTGTTTCTTTTTTAAAAAAAATTATCATTTTTATTTTATGTGTATGTGTGTATTGTCTGCATGTAGGTAAGTCCACCCATGTCGTGCAATGCCCACGTAGGTAGGAAGTGGCTTTTGGATCCCCTGGGACTGGAGTTACAGACAGTTGTTAGCTGCCATGTGGGTGCTGGGATTTGAACCCAGGTCTTCTGCAAGAACAACCAGTGTTCTTAACTGCTGAGCCATCTCTTCAGCCCAGGATTTTGTTTCTTAATCTATTCAACCAGCTTTTGTCTTTTCACTGGTGGTTCAGTCCATTCACATTTAAAGTTATTATTTAAAGATGTATATTGGTTGCCATCATTTTGATTACTGTGTGAATTCTTTGTCTAATTTTGTTTCCACAATTATAGCTTCATTTAGTTTCTTTCTGTTACCCATACCCCATTCTTTGTATTGCTTCAAGTATTCTTTTTTTTTTTTAACATCTTATTAATACAGTATTTATTGTCTTGTCTCTGTCAAACCCTGAGCCAACCACTTTCCCCAGACTTCCTGGGGAGGTACAGGAAAAGGAACATGCAGAGCAGAGGAGACATGGGAGAAATAACTACGGGAGCTGGAGACAGCTGTTTCACATGGCGAAGAGGCTCAGAAAGGCCACCATTAGGCAAAAGAGCTCCATGGCCTCCAAGAGGGCAAAGCCCAGAATTGCTTAGGAGAAGAACTGTTGCTTCAGAGATGGGTTCCTGGTATAACCCATGATGAGGCACCCAAACACAGTCCCAATCCCAGCCTCAGAGCCAGCCACCCCAACGGCGGCAGCTCCAGCCCCAATGAACTTGGCTGCTGTGTCGATGTCCCTTGAAATGGCACTGGTTTGGAAGCTGCGGCTCAGGATGAGTGAGGTCAGTGGATGTGGGACTGCCAAGCTGCTAAGGCTCTCATCTGCCAGTATCTCTGGTTGGTTCAACACCACTGTGGATAGAGGTTGACTCAGTAGCTGGGAGGTGCTCCACACCAAGGACCGGGTAGAGAGGAATTTGGAGCAGGCATACATTTTCAGGGGTGAGGAGTGAAGGCAGGAGAGCTGCTCCCAGGGCAGAAGAGACAAGAGGGGCCTTCAAGTATTCTTTGAAGGGGCTGGTTTTGTGGACATGTATTCTTACAGCCTATTCGTGTGGCAGAAGATTTTTCTTTGTTTTTCCACTATTAGAGACATTTTTGATGGGTAGAGTATTCTGGGTTGGCATCTATGGCCATTTAGAACTGGAAATTCCTTGGTACATACAGGCTCTTCTGTCTTTCATGGTTTGCACTGAAAAGTCAGCTGTTATTCTGATGGGTTTTCCTTTCTATTTGACTTTTCTTTTGCAGCTTTCAGTATTCTCTCTTTGCTCTGTACATTTATTGTTTTACTATGATATGCTGTGAGGAGTTACTTTTCTGGTCCAGTCTATTTGGTGTTCTGTGTGCTTCTTGTATTCATATAGGGATGCTTTTCCTTAATTTTGAGGAATTATCTACTACACTCCTGTTTAAGATCTCATCAATATCATCAACCTGAAATTCTTTCCTTCCTCTATGCCTGTGATAGATAGATTTGGTCTTTTCATAGTGTCCCACATTTCCTGCATATTCTATTCCTGTGTTTTTTTAAAAAACATTTCATAATCTTTGTTTGAGGAGTCTCATTCTTCAACTTTGTCCTGGGTGTTGATATTCTGGTCTCCATTTCATTCATTCTATCAGTGAGGCTTTCTCCTATTGTTTCAAATTGGCTTTGAGTTTTTCACTTCCTTCTTCATTTCAGCCTGAGTTTTCTTCAATGTTTCCATCTCTTTTGTGAATTCAGTGAGAATTTTATTCCTATCTTCTTTTAGTTCTTTGATTTGGTTGTTTGTGTGTTCTTTAAATTCGTTGAATTCCTTGATCATGTTTATGATTTTTTCTTTTTTCAATCTGTGTCCTGGGTTACCCTAAACATGCTGTTTTGGTTTTCCATATTTTCCATTGTGATTTTGGCATGTGCATTTCTTTTGTTGTTTGTGATTCTGGTACAAAACTCAAGCCTTCTTTTGTTGAGTTGAAATTTGCTTCTGTTTGTATCACTGGTGTGCCTTGGTTGTTTTCTTATTGGGTATATAAAGCTGGTTGGTCTAGGTTTCAGATTCTCTCAGATTTTATTTTGGAGGGAACTGATGACTTCAGATCAGCTACTCAGAAATCCCACAGAGGCTCAAGTCAGCTCCAGTCAGGTACACTCGGGCTTCCTTCTAAAGCTTGAACCCCTACTAGCAGGCAATCACAGCACAATTTGGGAAGTTCGCTAAGGGGAGGTCTGATTTTGGCACTCGGAGGCAGTCTGCTAAGACCTCTCCCCACACTGTAGGGCACAGAGGTCTACCCCTGCTGATGTGGGGAGGCCTCACGTGGTTCCAGTTAGGGGGTTGGGGATGGTGCAGTTTGGGGAAGCTCGCCACCACAGGGTCCAGGAACTCTCAGGCAGTCTGCTGAAGCCTCAGCCCCTACTCATGTTGGATTTTGTCAGAGGCCTTCTCTGCATCTATTGAGATGACAAATGTAGTTTTTGTCTTTAAGTCCATTCTTAGTACATTTATTGACTTATGTATTTTGAACCATCCCTGCATCTAAGGGATAAAGCTGACTTGATCTCAGGGGATGGACAGTGTGTAGAGAATAAGAATAAGAAACTTTGGAGTGTCCAGTCCTACAATGGGACAACTGTATCACACCCTCTCCTCCCAAGGCTCTGGGATTACTGTGGAAGAATGGGCAGAAAAAATTTTAAGAGCCAGAGGTGGTGGATGATTGCAAGGAGATCATGTTGTCTGGACATAACAGGGAAGTTGCACATATGAACACATACCAAATGTGACAATATGCACAAAATGACGACGACATATGTAAGCCTAAGTCAGACAAAAACCCAGCGTGGATGGGAGAGTTGGGGAAGCAGCCCCTGCCACGGATGAGGTTCTATCGGCAATTGATACCTGCTGCAGAGGGACAGCCAGTTTTCCTGAAGGGTTTGTTTCCTAGTAGGTTGACCAGACTCCCGTGATGGATCCACAACCCAAGAACATTTGAGGAACACAGACTCGACCACATAGGCCTTAAGAAAAGAATAATAATAGAGGCCATGAAGTCAGGGGGAAGATAGTAGGATGGGAGCGTAGATGGAGGAGGGGTTCTGAATATGAGCAGAACACACTGTGAAATTCTCAAAGAATCAAAAATATTTTTTAATCTACTGAAGAGGGAAGTAAATGGAGGAGGGAATAAATAATACATGAGAGGCCCCCATATTGTTTTCTATGTTCAGTCTACCATCATCTTCCTTCAGCTGGAACCTGGCAGATCTCTGTAAGTTTGAGGCCACTCAAGTCTACTTAGTGATTTCCATGCTAATCAGTGCTACATAGTGAGACTGTCGGAAAATAAAAAAAAAAAGCCAAAACAAAAACCAAATGTATATGAAATGTTTGAATTATCACAATAGCATGTTTATTTGTCATTATCTCCAAATACAAAGTTAAAGAAAACACACTTGTTTAGGGCTATAGCTCAGTGATGGAATCTGAACTCATACTCCTTCCCTTCCCAAGGAAAACCTGGAAGTGTCCTATACAGACTTTCTAGACTAGTCCATACCTCTCTGAGAGATGATGTGGTACTGCAGACAACAGAACAAATCTGAAAAATGATTTAAGAACGGTATGGTCCTTTCTTCATTTCCTCCTCGTCCTCCTCCTCCTCTTCCTCCTCGTCCTCCTTGTCCTCCTCCTCCTCTTCCTCCTCCTTCTCCTCCTCCTCCTCCTCCTCCCTCCTTCCTCCCTCTTCTCTCCATCTCTTATCTTTCTTGACAGGGTCTCATCTACCATACACTAACCCTAAATTATCTACATAGCCAAGGATGGCAGTGAAGTCCATAGCTGTATACCCAGCCCCTGGCTCCTTGTCTTCCTTTCCTTCCTGGCAATCTACCTTGCTGGCCTGTACCTCAGGACAATCTTCTTGCTTCTGATACCTGTGGGAATTACCAGTGTGCACCCCTCCACCTGGAAATAATGACTGTGTCGTCCTTCTGTTTTGCTGTTTACATTTTGTTATGTTGATTTTTGTGGGTTTTGTTGGTATTGTTGAGACAGAGGTCTCCTTGTAGGCACACCTGGCCTGGAACTTGCTATGTAGACTAGGCTGGCCCATGTCTCATACAGATCTACCTGTCTCTGAACTGAGTGCTTGAATTAAAGGTGTGTGCCACCATGCTTAGCATATTAAGTTTTGAAACAGGGTCTCACATTGTGTAGCCTAGGTTAGCCTTGAAGTAATAAGCCTCCTGCCTCACCCCTAAATGCTGAGTTGTATTTCTTTGAAAGCAGAGATTGGAGTTGGGGACAATGAAATACCAAACTATTTTCCCACATAGGGAAAGATTCCCAAAGTAGTTTATGATTCTAATGTAGCTTCTGGTATACAGGATTCAACAGAAATTAATATGATAATTGCTAGACAGAATGAGTTTAGTTATTTATGTATGTATTTGCCATCCCTCGGCCTTCACAGGTGGCAAGAGCTGCAGGGCTGGGAGGCATCTGAATCCTGCCCTGACTTGACCAGGCAAGCAAGGGGCATCTGCTCTGGAGCTGGGATGGATGGGGAGAGCTTTGTATGTCCTTGCTGAGAGCCGTTGGCTAGGCTACTGTCATTGGCGTCTGAGGCTTACACCCATGTGCTTAGCAGGGTTGATAGTGATGTTAATCTGTGAGCAATGGAACACGGAAAGGCACTCACCAGGCAGAGTTCCGTTAGGGTGTTGCTAAGTGACAGTTAACGGTTAGTTGCTGAACCACAGACCATCCCTGGTAGGATACTCCTGTGGCGCAGTGCTGAATTTTGGGTTTTCATTCAAAGTTCTAGTGTTTAGAGGCAAGAAACAGCAGAGGAAGAGGACAGATAGGGCGGGGAAGGCGGAGAGGGCCTCGGCGGCCCTGGCCTCGGCGGCCCTGGCCTGGCCCTCGCCATGCAGGACGTTGACTACTACTACTACGACGCCTATATTCGCAGTGGCTACTACGGCTATATTCGCAGTGGCATCCCCGGTACCAGGTGGTATACCCACTTCGATGGGGCTTTCAGGGCTATGTGTGTTTGAATAATGACAGGCCAGAGTCTCCCATACACCCCATAGGATATGTTCCTGTGGGACACGTCCACAGGGCCAGAAGTGTAGGTGCTGGAACTACAGTGAAGCGCGTGGATCTATCAGACGAGCCTAACAGGTAATAGGGCCCTGGAGAGGGGAAGGATAGGAGAAGGGGGCTCAGTTGGGGATGGACAAGGACCACATGGGAGGAGTTCCACTTTTCCAGATGTGGGTCCTGAGGGAGGGTCTAGGAGAATGGGGGTCTACTTTCCCAACGGTGCTGGATTTTCCTCCCGCCTCAGACTTCTAGGTTATCAGAACTCTCACATCTTGGAGGAGAGTCTACATTAAAGCCTTTATGAGAAGCAAAACAAAAACAAAGCTCGCCGGTTTCCAAATCATTTATGTTACCTCTTTTAGAGAGCTTTAATACCCGCATGGCAGCATTTGAAATAAAGAGCGTTAAAGGCAGGCACAGTGGCACGTGCCCGCAGTTTGAGCTATTAGAAAGCTGATTTAGGAGGATTTCAAGATTTAGTCCAGCCTGGGTAATATAGTTGAGCCTTTCTTAGTTCAAGAAATATGAAACTCATTTGAATACAAAAATGTTTCACCTGCAATGTAGGTATGATTCTGTTATTTCACACAATTGAAATACTATGTTTGTTGTCAGTAGGAATAGTGATTCTACCATATTCTGAGCTAACTCTTAGGTGCTAAGTTCAGTTCTGCATACTTTGTTGAGAATCTCATTAAAGCATGAGAGTTGCATTCTGAAAGATTGCTACTATTTTTAACCCCCATTGTCACTGAGCTCCTAGGTGCCTGAAAAGTAGGTAATAGGTAAGAGATTAGAGCAGAATTACAATTTTATTTTCAGTTGTTCCTTTTATTCAGGCGTGCTGGTCTAGCATGGAGGCACCTCACTGGCAGAGCACTTGCCTTGAACGGGGCAGGCCATGCACTGTATCACTACTGCTCTGAATAAATGCAAAAGTGGAGAAGCAAGGAAACTCCAATGGTGTCCCTTTCCTCTGAACTCATTACCTGCTATCTAATAGGTAGAATTGTCTGGATGAAGGTGCTTTGACCCAGTTCTCCAAGTTCCTAAGACCCCCTCTCCTTTCCACAGGATCACGCTGCATTATGCTTGTACCTATGACCATCCAGATGTGGTGTGGCTCCTCATCAAGAAAAATTGCAATTTTCACGTAAATGCCCGTGATGGTGAAAAGAGCACACCCCTAATTAAGGTGGCTATTGGGCCACAGTTTCAGTTGAGATGGATTAGTATTAAAATCTTAGAATATTCTAGCGTGTGCTGCTAGTTAATGCTTTCTAGATATGATGGAGAATTTGCACCAGTGAGATCTCCAATGTATTGCAGTCTAACCAGGTCTGCATGAGGACAAAACCAGTTGACATGCCAAGACGGGGGAAGGTTCACGGAATCCCACCTCTAAATATGAACTGCAGGCAATCAATGGATGCTGAGGGAGGAAGAATCATTTTTTCCAGGGACTAATTCCATGATATGTTATCTGATCGCAAGTGGGCAAGTCTAAACACAGGTACACAAAATCCACCTCCACTACGTAGTTTCGGTATGTGTAAACTCATATCCATATACATTAGCATACGGTGTATATGTAGCAAAGAGGAGGAGAAGAAACTGAGAGGGCTTGGGTTGACACAGGAGGAGTAGGAGGGGGATCGGAGGGGGTTTCAGTAATGCAAATACACTTTTCCTGTAAGAAATTTTCAAAAATGAAATATTTGAGAACACTAAGCAGGTGTGCTGACATACACCTGTAATCCTATCACGGGAGGCAGGAAGATTTTGAATTGAGGCAAGGCTGAGCTTACCTAAGCAGATCCCTGTCTCAAAAGAAGGGGTAAATATACTTAGGATAAAATTTTATTTCACTTAAGGGTAATTATTCAGTGACATATTTGGACATTTAATCTTGGATTCCTTGAATTGCTAGTTTATTTCTGTGTACAATAATCACAGGCTGTACAGCAGGACCATGAAGAATGCGTGTCGATTTTACTTAACCTTGGCGCTGATCCACACGCCATGAATGTGTGTGGAAAAAATGCACTCCACTATGCCGTGCTTGGGGGGAACATCTGAATGGCTGAAAAACTGCTGGCCTGCGGTGCTGATATTGAAGCCAGAACAAAGGTAAAGATGACTTAACGTCATTACCCAGATACTTGTAACAATGGCGCATAGTTCCATTTTCCACATGTAGAAGGTCAAGCTTTCTGTGGTTAAAAATGTTTTGAAATGAGTTAATCACCAAAGGAATAAAATTCTGAGACTTTGTATGTGTTCTATATCTGTGTATACATGATCACATATTTGTGCCTGCATGCGTGCCTGTGTATACACAGACAGTCATAGGGCAGAAGTCAAGATCAGTGTTAGCCGAAACTGTTTTTCACTCTTATCACGTTACATTTCTATTTGTCTATTATTATAGGGTGTGTGTGCATGATGCTTTTGTGGAGGTCAGAAGACGCCTTTGTGGACTTCGCTCTCTCAACTTTACACGAGTTCCAGGGGTGGAACTCAGGTCACCAGGTTTCTGCACCACGGGCCTTTACCTGTTGTGCTATCTTACCAGCTGCCCACCTAAAGTTTCCAGACATTTGTTTGACTTGTGTATTTTGTTGCACATGGAGGTCTGAGGAGAACTTGTGGTGGTTCTTGACCCCCTGAGCCATCTGTCTTGCCCTTCACATTGTTTTTGAGACAGTGTCTATAGTTGAACTTGCAGCTCACCAATTAGGCTAGAGTAGCTGGCCAGGGATCTTCCTAGCTCTGCATCACAGTGCTGGGGTTATAAGCCACCATCCCTGGTTATAACCTGCTTATAATTATTACCCATGGGTTCTGGGTAATAATTCAAGACCCCCTATTTGAAGATAATTAGTGTAAAGTAGTAAAGCAAAACAAAATCTGTCTCAGAATGGGGTTTGATTTTAAATAAAAATTAGAGGATTTGGACCCACACCCCCACATATCATGCACATACACCCATGTACAAACAATAAAAATAAGTTAATTAAAAAATAAAAACTTTGTTAATGAATGGAAATCTTGTTGCTCTTGAGAGTTATATGGAAGTGGGTTATCTCTCGGAGATGTGACTGAAACAGGGAACATGAGAAAGGGATTGTGGTCACAGGTGTGCAAGTAAATTTGCAAACTTGGTTATTGAAAGGCTATGCTAGGAAGACATGGTTTACTTCACTTTTTGCAACTTTTATGTACACACAGAAATGCTGTTTAGTTTGGGAGACAGCAATTCTTCTTAGTTTGGGAAAGAATATTGTTGAGTTGTAAATGTGCCTTGAGGTCATTTTAGGAGGACTCTGAGGCCTCCAGCCTGGCAGTGACTAGGTGGTAATTGTGGGGAAAATGAAAGGGAAAGCCAGTGAATTCACTGCCCTAGTGTCCTCTTCTTGTAGAAAAAGTCTCTCAAATGTCTCAGTTTTCTATTTATTTTTATCAATAGACTGGCATATATTTATTTTTATTGATAGACTGTGTATATTCAGTTCTGGCTTGTAGTTTTCATAGAATGAAAAATAACGTTAGTTACTAAATTGGGACCCGAATGAGAATGAATGTAAAGTAGAAAATTTGCATGCTGTCAATAGATTATCATTGTGAGAATAAAACTTTGTACTGAGTTTTCTAACTGATAGGATGTAAATTTGTATCTTAAAATAATAAGCAATTAGGGTTGGAGAGATGGCTCAGTAGTTAAGAGCACTGACAACTCTTATAGAAGACCCAGATTGGAATCCCAGCACCCACATGGCAGCTAACAACCATCTGTAACTCCAGTTCCAGTGTTCCAAGACCCGCTTCTTCTGTCCTCCATGGGGCATTGCATGACATGCATTCACTTACATAAATGCCAGCATGATACTCAAAACAAAAATAAATAAATAAAATAATAAGCAATTGAGCTTCTTTTGAAGCCTCTCTTTTAATTAGGAGCCCATTTCTTTGGGGGCCCATTTTGGGCAGGCACACCTTACAGTGGGATCCAGATCCTGCCACCATAAATAGAAGAGGATCAGTTGACTTCCATCCCCAACTGGGTGAAGCATTCACATTACTGGAAAACTGTAAATATGTCCCTGAAGCTCTTCTTTAAATGTGAATGTTTTGCATAAGAAACAAGTGTTTTTGAATAAGGATCAAGTGAAAGCGATTTCTTTAATACTGGCCCTATAATTATTGGTTCCGTTATGATCCCTTTCATTTGTGCAGCACTTCTGTAAATAACAGATTGAGAAATTCTGCTCCAGAGATGACCGTTGTAGCTCACTCATTCAACAGAAATATGTAAAACCTTTTCTACTACATTGCACGGTTGGGACAATTGAGGTGAAACTGTATAGAAACAAAGATTCTTGGAAGCTGTGCGTTTAGAGTGAGTTTGAAGAGAGAGAAGGTCAGGGGCAGCGCAAGGCATCGGAAGGGTGTTCCAAAGGAAAGGCATAGCACTTGGGGAAGTGTGGCGGGAAAGGGAAGAGCGGCTACTTCTGATGTGCTCTTCACAGCTTACATGTATGTTCATAGATTCCGTGTTAAGATTTTTAGTTCAGTCGAGAAATACATGATTTTGAAAATATGAAATATTTTTCTTTACAGCATGGATTCACACCATATTTGCTCTGTCTTCTCAAAAAGAAAGAAGAGATGGCAGAATTCTTGAAAGCAAAGGTTGCAGATGTGCATGCTGAGGTTGAATGGAAAAGGTACAGTTTGTCCTTCATAATCTTAGTGCTGTTCTTGAGTGTAACAATCACTTAACTCAGGAATTCTAAACCGATAGGAGAAAGATTCACTTACACTCACAGGAACAGTGAGAAACAGCAACACAAATGAAGGGTCGAGTAGAAAAAGGGCTGTTCAGACTGCAACAGGAACAACAGTCTAAACAGGTTCAGGGTCTCTTTTACCATGTACTGGCTTTGTTATTTTGTGTCTAATTGTTTTTGGTCAAATGGCTTTATAGTAGCTAAGAGAATGTCATATTAGCATTGTTTATATTTAGAATGGGATTAAACTTCTATGCATAGGAGTGTTTTGCCTGCATGGCTTAGGTGCATCCATTTCTTACAATACCAGCGAAAGCCAGAAGAGAGGGTTGGACTCCCTGGAACTGATTTATGGATGGTTGTCAGCCACCATGTGAGTGCTGGGAACCTATCTTGAATCCTCTGCAAGAGAAACTAGTGTTCTCACCTGCTGAACCACCTGTCTCGCCCCAGCAT